TTTCTTTCTTTTCTTTTTCTTCCCCAACAGATTGGGATTACAGCCAAGGATTTGTGAACCAAGATATGATCAGAGACCACCTGCCCCCACCTCAGAGCGATGTTCTGATCCTCATGTGTGGACCTCCTCCCATGATCCAGTACGCGTGCATTCCCAACCTGGACAAACTGGGCTATGCCAAGGACATGAGGTTCTCCTTCTAATGAAGGCTGTTACTTCAGTGGTCTTGTGAGGAAGGAAAGAAAAACAGTTAATGGGGAACAAGACGAAGTTAGAGATGGCTGATGCACAGTGCTGGGAAGCTACATTTACATTAGAAGTACTTCATTTTTATCTGAATCTCTGGCAAGTTAGACACTTAAGCTTAACTACATGCTAACCGTACTGTACGTTACACACAAACAGCCTTCTGGCAGAGACGTAGCCATGCGCAGTTCTCAGCTGTGTTGTGCTTGCCACGTCTGTCCTGTAGAAAGATTATATTCCATCTCGAGGCTGGAAAGCTTCTTAGGGCAGCAAATACTCATTTACACTCTTCTTAGCACTGTAATCAAATAGCAGTAATATCCCACTTCCTAACACTGTGCATACCCAGTATTTTATTTGGTGTGAAGTATGAAATATATGGAATGAGCTGGATCATTCGCCCTGCTTATATCAAAATTTAAAAAGATGTTACTGTGTGAGGACCAGGAGCATTTTCCTGGTATGCATAATCTTTGCACCATCAGGAGCTTAAGAGTGTTCATTTGAAGGATGACAATTAACCACGTATGACTGAAGTTGTTTAAGGAAGTTGCCTTGTTAATCAAAATAGAGGGGTAGACAGCTATATAAAATTTGTTTCCTGTGTATTTTGGAATAGCCTCTTTTACGTGGAAACACTTTTCCAGCTGCTCACATCCCTGGGCAATGAAAGAAACTCTGGACAGCAGGTGCTTTACTGACTGTCCTGGAAGTCTTTGCTTGTATGTGTGCTGAATACTGAAAAAATACTGACGTGTGTATTTACTTTTAAATAACAGGCAGTACCATAGGAGTGGGAAAGTGATTGTTCTGCAGGTTCTGTGCAGTGAAAAAGTCTGGATCTGGTTTTAGTTTGTTTCCCAGAGCTGGGTTAGCCAGAGTGGGGTTCATTGGGTGGTCCAGCTCAGCAGTGGGTCCTGGCAGGTGTGATATGCCTGCACATCTTGCTCTGGAAGAGCTCCAAAGAAGAAAGAGGATTGCATGGGAACAGCCTTAAGCCACCCAACTGACAGCTGATTCAAATGTATCTCTGAATCTAAAACTCTTTCTGTTTATTACAGCTTCCATTTGTTTCTTAATATAATTTTTACAGCAGCCTTTCACCTGACCTTTAGCAAAACTTCATGCCTCCAGTGTGCTGTCCTTCTGCATCCACACATACTGAGGTTGGGGCTGTCCTGCAAGAAGTCCAGGAGACAAAGTCGTGGTCTGGTGATGAAATCACAGTGAGGGAAAGGATAGTGGGTGGTGGTGGATGAAGTCGTAGAATCACCAGAGCTGGAACAGACCTCCAACATCACCCAGTCCAACCATTCACCAATATTTCCCCCCTAAACCACGTCCCTCAGTACCACAGCTGAAGTCACGTGGATGCGAGTTGGCTGCAGGTAGTGGTGTGCCATGTGTGTCACTTCTGTAAAGATTTGGGCACTACTTGGGGCTGTAACTTGCCCTGCTTTCTTTTGTGCCCATCCAACAGCTGTGTAGTAGACACTTAAAAGGTGAATCTTCAGCATCAATTAAAAGGAGAAAAGGATACTACAGTTAAATTAAGGAACCTGCAAAGAATAATACTATTAAGTTTATTAAATAGACACTTGCCTCTGAAATCTTCAGCATTTGATGTGCGTTTCTGAAACTCATTTTAATATTGTGCTCCAGAGGTCAGTTCCTTTATCTTTTTGTGAGGCAAAAAGCAGAAATTGGAGATGAATTGTTTTGCTGCTGGTTTACATCACTGTGGAGTAAACAGGTTTTTTTTTTCCACGACTGTATTTAAGGATGTGTTCATATCAAAAATAACTCGCTGGTAACACGTCAACATTTTTGTATAACTGAACCTTTCTTCTAATTACTGTTTTTTTCCACATCTGTCAGAAATAAATGATGATGCAGGTGCCTCACCTGTGTGTTACTTATCCCATCACCTTCCACTTCAGAAGAGACAAACTGTGTCTGTAGAGCACTTCAGAATGCTTAAAAACATCTGTTTGCTGTTTACCCAACTGTTTGTGTGAGAGGTTGGTGCAAGCTGCTGAGTTAAGGATTAAACTACCACTGTTTTCTGTCTGTCACCAGAATCTATTCGTTTTGCCTTTATTTTGTACATCTTCCTTGCGAACATGAAGCTCTTTAATTAAAAAGGAGATTTTTATATAATCTGATGGAAAGATGGTGCCCCGATCCCTTTTGCTTGCTGGTCCTGTACTGTGGCACTTAAACAAGTAATAAAAGCTGGTTTTGCATTGTTTTTGATTCTCAGATTCATCTCTCTTACAGTTGTAGCAGAGTGGGTGTCAGCGAGCTCCTACCTGTGATGGAGGTTAGGGGAGAACATTCTCACAGGACCTGGAAAACTGAAACAGCTTCAGAAATGTGCTCCAAGAGGCCCTTCTCACAGCCAATGAGCCCCCAGTAAAGGGTGGGGGTGAGGTTTTCTGCTGTTATTCTTATTCTCGGGGTGAAAAGCACTACCTGAGGATTGGCTGTGAATCACTTGGGCCAACACACCAGCTGGGCTGAATCAATGAGCAAAAAGTCACACCAACTTCCCTGAATACCTTGCTGTTCCTCCTTGCCTTTATTACCCACAGCACTGATTCCTGCCAGAGCCAAGAATGCAGCAGCATGACTTACCTGAGGTAGCAGAGCCTCTGGGGGGATCAGGTCAGGAGGCCGTCTGCCCCAGTATGTGATTCGCATAGTTTGGCCTCTCAGAGCAAGGATTTATTGCATAGAGAGCTCCTGCACTGATGCTGGACCTCTTTGTGCCCTTTTGTTTGACTGTGCAGACTACAGCCTTTAATTCTCAGCTGTCACAGCTTCCCCATCTTACAACTCAGAAACTAAACAGTAACATATGAATGACAGTTTTGAAACTGCTTTTATTCTGTTAAAAGAAAGAAATAAAATTATAAGGAAAACCACCACACAGGAGGTCAATACCATCGAACTGTTAGTGTACACAGCAGTAAGTCCCTACCTGTGGCCTACAAACACTGTGGTTTTGCCAGCCTGAAACCTGTGGAGCTCTTCCCTTTGCTGCTTAACAGCAGCTGGAAGAAAGCTACTACAGTTGTGCAACCTGAAATGCTGTCAGCTAAAACCTGAGGGAAATTGAGTAAACCACTACATAAACACAGTGAGCTGCTAAGATACCAAAACCAAAGACAAAGCGAAACATTCTTGCCTCTTCCAGATTTCTGCTTGCTGCCAGGGCTGTCAGGAGCCCTTCCTTCTCTGCTGCACTGAAAGACAAAGGCTGCCCTGGATGCCAGCCCCCCTCTCCATGAGTTCATTTTCCCATGTCTCCTTAAACAACTGCAGCTGTTTTTTGCCACCAGCAAGAATAGGGTTTGTGGCAGAGCCCAGCGCTGGGTCACAGCTCTGAGGCTCTCCAGTCCCAGCATCAGCCTGGTGCTGGTTGCCTTCCTGTGGGCAGATGATAGGGTTCTCATTTGGCTCATTTCTATCTCAGGACAGGGAGTTCTCCACTAGGAGAACGAGCTCCATTCCTCCAACAGCGTTCTGAAGCCCTTGCATTTTTCTCTACCTGTACCACCACTCTGACAGCAGTAACAGCATGTTTTCTCTATTACAGACTCAACATACTATTTAAAAAAAAAAAAAGAAAAAAGAAACCAGCCTGCCCTTTCTATATGCACAGCACACAAAGGCTGAGCCAAGCCTAATAACTCTTCCTGAAGGCACCATTTGATAAAGCCTTCATGGCCCCAGCCAAGGCTCCATGGTTGGTGAACAAAATGTCCTGGGATGGCTCCACGCCTTCTATAAACATTTTTTTCTGGCAGATTGTATTCTAGAACAGTGTGCTGTTGTTCTAAAACCTGGGCAGACTGAGTCAGATTGGCTGCTGCACAATAGAAGGCAGTACAGTGGGTGGAGGGGGAAGGTGAGAAATAGGGGTGGAGTGATGTTGGGCACGAAGCCCACCGAGGCTGAGCGCCACCCACAGCCTTTGGTGAGGGCCTGCAGACACCCTGCTGCCAGCTCGAGGTTTACAGAGATTTATGGACAGATTGCCTGCCTCCTTCAGCCCGTGTGTTGCACCAATGCAGCTCTCCAGCACCTCTCTGTGGGCAGGAAGCTGCCTGATCAACAGGCAGTGTTTCTGCTCTTCCTTCACAATGTTATCCAGCAGGATTTGGTCCTCAGGTTTCCTGGCATGCCAAACGTGGCAAACAAGCCCTCGCAGTCCCATCCTACCAGACAGCAGATCTTGTCTGGACTCTCTCAGCAGTTCCAGCAGTGTCTGCCCACCAGTACAGCCTCCAGGCTGTCCCCAGTGCTCCTGTGCGGCCATCCCGCTGTGGCAGAGCTCTGCCAGCTGTAGGATCTGCACTCAGCTGCAGCTCGATGCACTTGTCAGCACCCAACAGAGCCCAGAGCCAATCCACTCCAAAGAGCACAGCCTGTTACATGGTTGTTTTACTGGTCACGATGCATTCCTCCACTCCCTTCTCCACACAGAAGCTGATGAAGTTGACCAGGAGGATCCTGCTCAACAGAAGGACTTCGTATGAGGATCTGTGAAGCCAAGCTAGTCCTTCAGCCTCTGAGGTGAATGGACCATGCCTTAGCTGAAGACTTTATGGATAATGAGTTTCAGCCGTGTTCCCAGCTGTGTCCGTGTGATGCTTTCTGACTCACGCTCTGCACAGGTGATTTCCTCATGCAATAACCTGAGGGAAATCCCTTCCTTAGTGAAGGTTCTGTGGTAACTGAGCACTGTCAGAGCCATGGGGTGGGCTGAACAGAACTGCCAACAGATGCTGTGCCCAGCAGAGCCTGGCAGTGCTGGCAGGCAGCGCTGCAGGATGTTTCCCCTGCATCTCCCTGAGCAGGGACCAGCCCAGCAGGCCCCGCCGCTTTCACACCTACTGAGCTCACCTGCTTTCAATGATCCCATCTCATTCTAGCCTGATCTTATCTTGCACTCTCATTTCTAGGACTACTACAAAGAAGCCACTTCTATTGGCACTGGGTATTACCTAGAGATGAATTAACCTATTTCTTTTAACCACTCAGACAGAATACTAAAAGACCTCTAAGATCATCCAGTCCAACCAGCAGCCCATCCCCACCATGCCCACTAACCATGCCCCTCAGTGCTACATCTCCATGTTTCTTGAACACCTCCACCATCTCCCTGAGCAGCCTTTTCCAATTTCTCTTTCTAAAAAGAAAGGAGCAGCTTGAGCTGCTGCTGCCACCTGCAGCTGGGTTACCTCAGAGAGGTGACACACCAGGCACAGCTAGAACAAAACAAGATTCCTAAAGTTACAAAATCCAGTTTCCATAACTGTTAAGGTTGGACTGCCTGTTTCTGCTGCAGGAGGCATCAGCCAGGTCAGCTGCTAGTGCAAATACATTGCAACCATCTCTTCACTGTCCCAGGATCTCACCAGCATTCCCAGAAAACACTCTACCCTGCTGAGTGCTGCTCTTGTTCCTCCTTCTCCCCATTCTCAGTGAATAACAAAAAAGCGATAAGGATCTTTCTCTGCATTCTTTCTTCTAATTGCTCAAGACTTCCCTTACTTCACTGCGTAAAAGTGAACTTATAAACTAGAAGACCAACATTTTACATGGTCTAATAGTGAAAGGACAAGGGGAATGATCTTAAACTAAAAAAGGGGAGATGTAGTCTAGATGTGAGAAATTCTTTACTCAGAGGATGGTGAAGCAGTGGCACAGGCTGCCCAGAGAAGCTGTGGATGTCCCATCCCTGGAGGCATTCAAGGCAATGCTGGATGGGGCCCTGGGCAGCCTGATCAGAGGTTGACTGGAGGCTGCCCCTGCATCTCTAACACCTCCTTGAGAAGTGTCCAGCCTTCCTGGATCTGGTGGATGGCAATCCTGCCCGTGGCAGAGGGGTGGAACTGTATGGGCTTTCAGGTCTCTTCCAACCTATTCCATTCTGTGATTCATCTCTACTGCCTACAGATGTCCTGGTGTTCCTGAAACCCCCAAGAGACACCCCATCTCAGGTTGGTCACACTCTCTCCAGAAAACAGACTATGCCCTAAGTATTACATTTCTTTTCTCCCACAGATCTTCACGTCTCTTTGTCTCACCTCCATTCCTTTGTGACTATCCTACAGCAATCAGCAGGGGATACACTGCTGAGTCTCCCATTACCTCTGATTCTAACTCTCAATTTCTCCTCCTTTCTACATCAGCACTCCCCAGCAACCAACACTCCCTCCTTGCCAGCTTTTTCTCCTAATCGTCTAGCAATTCTATGGGCTTGTGTTCATTTTCACAGCTGCATCAAAGAATGCTGTCCTCCAATGGGAAGAAGATGATAAAGGGACTCCATAGGAAAAGCTCTTGCTGCAAAAGAAAATGCCAAAACACTGAAGAATAAAGCTTCATGTCACTATAAAGACGAAAATGGTATACTGTGCTCTAGATTTCAAAGCATTTATCCCAAGTGTTAACACAAAAAAGCTGACCTGACGAACAAAACAGAAATGAGTGTCATAAGAAGGAGGAATTCTGCAGTTTCTGCACTGCTACCTGGGCTACTCCAAGCAAAACATCTATCATCATCTGTACCTGCATCCCAGCAACAAAGTGGGGAAGACAACTGGTACTTCTACAGCTGCTGAGGGCTACAAGGACATGGGGAAGGATGATGACACCTGGAGGGCTGGAGATACTCTCTGCAATGGAGACGAACGTTGCTGGTCCTCCAACACCCTACGAGGGCTCACTGAGGAGCAGACAGGGGCTGGGACACACCTCCTGGTCATGCCCAGCAACCTAGCGTGCATCAAATCTGGATCTCAAAAATCAACAAAAAAACCTGCGTATTTCTTGACTGTTACCTGACTCTTCCTGCTGGCACCATCAACAGATGAACTGGTGAATCCTGCCTGTGATTTTGTTTGCCCCTTGTCCCTCATCTTTTAAGTAGAACCCAATGAGCTTCCTAGGAATTTTAAAAAAAAAGAAATTAGGGATGCATTACCAAAAAAAAAAAAAAAAAACCCCAAAAACAAACCCACACCAAAACTTACCAGAAGCAGTCGGCATTTTCCACAGATTTTTATTGGATTTTACATGGCAATACACAGTAGTTACGTTGCCCTCTTCAAAAACACAAAATACCACAATGGTATCAGCTGTGTGCACATGCACGCAAAAATCTCCCACTGTTACCAATGCTTTCCTAACAGACCCCCACAAAACAGCCATAGTTCAGCTGATAGGCAGCTCTGAATGACAACCTGTTCTCCACCCAGGAGACCCAGAAACAAGGTGTCTGAAGCAGAACTTTACTTACACTGGACTTAAAAAGAAATGATTGCTGCTGCTGCTAGGCTTGTTAACAGCACCAGCGTGAGAAAAAAATCTCAGAGCATTTGCTTGTACCTGTTTCAACACACAGCACAGTGTCATTAGCCCCTTTTCTACTGTGAATATTCATTCATTGTGTCCACTAGCCAGCGTCTGCTCAGGAGAATCTGAAGGAATACTTCTGCTCAGAAGCCTGCACTATGTCTTCCGGTGCTTCTGCTGCATATGGCAGAGCAGGGTCTTGGGCCAAGCACCGCAAAGTATTCACAGAAAGCAAGCCCTGAACCGACACCATGAGGATTTGTACCTGACAGTGGCGAGCAGGCATTACAGAATGGGGCAGCTCTGCCTATTTGGAATAGCTCAGCCACCCCCAGAACTGCAGAAGAAACAACAGGCAGCAAATTACTTGTGAATGCTCCTCAGTCTGAAGTTCTGAATAAAGCACCAGGTGTGATCTGTCTGTACACAAATGTAAAGTGGCACGAACTGCTTCATGATTATATGGCTCATTTGCCTGGCTCCAGCTACTGAAGAGAGAATGGCAGCACTTGATATTGTATATAACACAACTGGTCCACATCACAGTTTTCTTCTTTGCACATGAAAATTAGCCCAAACTGCACATCTTTCAAAAAAATAAAAACAACAATAACAAAAAAACCAACCTGACTGGTTACAACCCATAAGGCTACAACAGTAGAGTGCTAGAACACATCTCTGGTCTACCTCCAACACCTGGTGCAAGGTCCATGGAATCCCCTTCCTTCCTTTCCTACCCACAGGACCAGCACAAATCCATGATCCGTGACACCACACATCAGTGTGTCAGCCATGATCTCACTTCCAGCGCGGGCAATGATGAAACGAGCGACACATTCTTGTAAAAGCCAAACAGTATTCAAAAAGAACAGCTGGGCTTTTTTTCCCATTACAAGGCAAAGAAGCTTCATGCTGTTGTGCTAAAATACATGCTATGATCAACGCTGTATAAAAGACTGCTGTAATAAACAGTTACTTTTTCATTGCTTTGGCTAGGACATCTTGCAATACAGAAAGCCTGACAACAAACTTCCACTGGCTAGTTAATGTTTTTAAAGTCTGATGACCTTAAGGAAAAATAGTTATGCTCTAAGAAGGCAAAATGATGAGCAACACGTTTGATATTTGGATTTTTTAAGGAAAAGTTCCACCTTGGGTTTAATATAATGAAATAATATATTTCCTATACATTTCTCTATATAACTTTGTTTGCAACTACACCATCCTCACGTTAGTCACAGCACAGCAACATCCCTTCCACGTGCAGGGAGTACTCTCAACTTGAAGAAAAACTCTCCAGAACATTTTTAAGTCACAGAAGTGTTACTAACTTCAAATGCTATAAAACTACTGCTGCTGGAAACAAGGAAGAAGACATTTTGAAATTTGCAGCTTCCCAAGGAGTCACTGCTAGAAGAAACATGCTTCACAACTGTTCCATCCCAAATGGAAGATCATTAAACTGTGAATTCAGTAAAAAGCAACAAAAGCAAACAGTTCCAAAGGTCAGCCTGCCTTTTCCAGTAACCAGCTGGTGTGCAAACTGGGATAATCTTTTACAGTTCTCTCCCCCTTCCCCTTACCTTGAACTTTCCATTACTCTAAGTCACAAAATTTAAATTTTTGCTTTTAGATGTACTTCATATACTTTTTTTTTTTTTTAATTTTTTTTTTTTATAAAACAGTATAAAAATAAAAGCAACAGTAAAGAGCTACTGGGGAGATTATGCAGGGCTAAAATCCTATGTTGGATACCAAAGGAAGGGCAGAACTAGCATTTGCGTGGGGCAAAGGCCTTTGAAAAAGACAGCAATAAGAGAAAGCTGATTGACAACTACAGGTGCAATGCTTTTCTATCTAACAATTTGCTTTACTTTGTAATAGTACAAAGGATCATCTCAGGACATGAATAAGAAAAAGGAGCACTATGATACCATGTCAATTTAAATGCAACACTCTGAAACATATCACCAGTTTGTACATTAAATATAGTAAAAACAATTTCCATTCACCAGTGTCTGGGTGTTTCTTATGGCAACTTTAAAGTAGGCACCTTTTTTTATTTTTTTTTCAGTTCTTCTTTAAATTTTCCACCCCCCAGTATTACTTCTAACAAACAGAAGCAAGAGCAGCATAGTGTATATGATCTGCTGCCCATCACATCTAGTGATGACGTTTCTTGCACACAGGAAGCGAGCCTTCATCAGTGCCTGTTGGTTGCTGTCACACATTGGAGTCTTCATCTGTTATACTGGTGCTAGGAGAGCGAGTTGCAAAGTCTTTAAACATTTCATCCTCTTTTAACATGTGCTAGAAAGGAAATGAGGGAAGAGTCAAAATCATTTTTACAGAAAAAGACTTTTTATTCTACAGATCACAGTTTTAAGCCTTACTGTCAAGTTGTTGATGCCTTCAGAAAATGCTCCTATTTGCCTCACTGTCCCTTCTGAATCTTCCATCTGCAAAAAAAAAACAGATAACGGATAATGAATGAATAATGAATCCCTTGCGTGCAGTGGCAATTAAGTTCAGCAAATAATGTAAGTGCTTTATTACAGTCCCACATGCTCAGAGTGAGGGATGAGTGTGCCCTGTTGAGGCAGAAGATGAGTTATGTCAGAGACAGTCTTACAGCTGCTGCATTCGTGGCTTGCAGTTCTTGGGCTGAGAGACATGTTTGTGTTTGTGAGTAATGCTTTGTGACTGTCAAAACTGAGAATCTTCTGAGAACAGGCTAAAGGAATGGAAAGGTTTCATTGTGAAAGAGAAGTTTCCCATCAAATCTAACAGCACATTTAAGTACTACAGTTTTACCTGCTCCAGCCTGTCCAAATCATCATCATCGTATACTCGGATATCCAGGCCAGCCTTAAAACCTTTCTTCGACGCACTTCCAGAGGCCCTCCCCAGCTCCATAGGACACACGTACTCTTCCACGTCATCTTGCTTTTTCTTTCTCAGGCTCCCAAAATTGCTGAAGGCAAGTTTCTTTGGCTTGTGAAAAGAAAATTCACAAAAACTTAAGAGTCAGCAAAGAAGTAACAGGTGTCTCTGCAACTGATGCTTCAATGTAAGCAGATGCTGAAGGGTTAAGACTCCACCGCTTTGCTTACAGCTTTCTGAATAGCTGCAGTTCCAGATAACTGTATCCATAAGAACAAGATGCATCCCTCATTCCATCATTACTACAAAAATAATATTTAAAGGATCCCAAATGTTATCAGAATCCCACTGCACAAAATCACGAGCATATAAACAGTAAGAGACCACCTCTGTCCCAAGCACGTTATCATACAGTCAGATGGACAACCCACAAGAGTGCCATCTCTCTTTGGCACGTATGAGGAGCTGAGATGTGGTGTGCTCACAGCAGACAAAAGAGTCAAACCCATATCTGCTGAGTCCTGCTCCAATGCTTTTTCGTTTGTTATCACATTAGCAGCCAACCCTGTTTCTCAAACCTTACCGAACAGCCCTCCAAGAATGGATAAAACTAACACACTGGAGATCTGAATGTCTGCTGGAAGCTCACATATGAACCCAGAACAAGTGGCCTACCTTAACTTTAGCAGTTGCTGTTAAGAGGACGTAGTCTGGGGACTCCATGGCTTCACGTTTCTGCTGCTGGGCCTCCTGCCCAATGAGGAGGTTGAAATGAGTGGCCAGGTGCCGTCGCAGCAGTGTTTTGTTTGGTGGGATGTTCAGCAACTGGGCCATGGTTTCTACATTGAAACGTGGCTCCAAAACCTATTAACAAAACCACAGAGTCCAGCTGATGTCAACACTGTCTGATGAGGTCTCAAGGACGCTGATGGGCATGTGTGGCTCAGTCACTTTTTAAAGTTGCTTTGGGTTTTAAATTTAGAGAAAATATACAACGAAGACAGAGAAAAGAGAGTTAAAGGATTCATAGAATGCTATTTCCAGCCTTTCTTTCTTGAATTATAAACAGAAGGAAACTGGCAAATAGAAAGAAGAGCTAAATCCACCCTTAGATCACATGATATGGAAAGCTCTAGCAAAATGTTTATCCAGCATCCTCTTTAATTCTGGAAAATGTAGTCAAAGGAATGATGGAAAATAAACATAAAATTTCTGGAAAAGGGATAGAAGTTTCAACCACTACAAACTTCTACAAGCATAAATCTCTAGCCTGGAGGATCTCATGCTAGAGAAATTAAAAACAATACTGTTTTGACACTGAAATTCCAGGTTTTCCTAAAGAATCAAGCATTCCCCACAAAAATAAAAACATGTTCACGTGTAGGAAGGAAAATGGTGGTTGTATAATAGCATGATTGTGTTGTAGGTAGGAGGTAGAAAATGCCATTAAATTGTGAAGGGGATGCAGGCAAACAAATTCACTGCTTTCCAAACTAACTTTGTCCAAGCCACTTTTAGGCCTTTTAAAAGTGCCTTTAAAACTATTGGGTAATAAATATTGACAGCAACTTATTATTAAGAAGAAAAAGAAGATAGAAGTATGTGTGCAGCAAAGATGACAGAACTAGTAATTCTCAGTCATGATTTACTTTAAATCAAATAAAGTATTAGTCTGTGAGTATCTTACCATCAGCCCCCCATGCACACCACTCCCCCTCAGATTAGGTGCATACTCTGCCAGATCAACAGAGCGTAACCACTCCATCACGCGGTGATTGGTCCACTGGGTGACCTCAGAAGGTGTGACATTA